CCTCGTGGGGGGTGGGGGGGCGGGCAGTGTAGGGCCAACGGTGCCAGCATGGCTGGTTGGGGGAGAGCTCTCTCCCACGCTGTGGGGGGCGTCTTCTCTCTGTGTCCTCCTGGTGGAAGGGACAAGGGACCTCTCTGGGGTCCTTTCTAAGGGCACTAACTCCATTCATGAGGGCTCCACCCTCATGACCTAATCACCTTCAAAGGCCCCCCCTGCTAACACCATCACATGGTGGTTAGGTTTCAACATGTGAACTTGGGAGGGGGGGGCAGATACAAACATTGAGTCCATCACACTTAACATAGACGTATTTTAAGTTTGGCCCAGGCCTGACATTGCTACCTACTTCTGTGAAACCACAGAAATAGATGTCCATATATGTGTACAACCATGTACCCAGTATATGGACATGCATGTACCAAGTGTACACATAAATATACACACAGCCAAGTGCTTGTCTGTGTGTCCTCAGGACCCGCCACACGCCGGGAGGGCGGCAGTGACATGCTGGGAAGCGCTGCTCTGTGGCGTCTCCCCCACGGCACGCTCCGACCCGGGAGCCAGCCCGCACCCTCCCCAGCTCCGGGGGCGCCAGGTCTGCTCCCACACACTGCCTCCGACCCAGTCCCCCCTCACAGCCAGGCCGGGCCTGGTCTTGTTTAAACAGCACACACACCTGCTTCCCCAAACACCTGTTCTCTCCGGCTACAGACCCTCAAGCCTTCTCCAGGGCCCTCGGCTCTTCGGCTCTTCCTCTCCTATCTCCTTCCTCCTCCTCCTGTTCCTCCTCCTCCTCACCCTCCTCCTCCTCCTCCTGTTCCTCCTCCCCCTCCTCCTCCTCCTCTGGACATTCCCTTTATAAACATGTCACTGAAATCACACTCAGTGCTCCCAACGGATCTGAGCGCTGGGACTGTTAACATAGGACCCTCTTCCTAAGGGCAGGCCCTGCGCTACGCACGACCTCACTGAGTCCTCAGAGCAACCCCAGCAGACGGGTGCTCTTATCTCCGCTGTACAGGAGTGGGAAGAAATTAAGACATGGCCCAATGGGTAGGACTTGAACCTAGATATTAGCCACTGTATCGTATCCTTCCCTAACCCGGGCACGACGCTTCTAGTAATACGACCACATACAGCATCGGCTTTTCTAATGAAGTCCTCGTCCCACAGTTGCCTCATTTAACGTGTGGACAGCCGAGTCAGGGTGTCAAGTCCAGCTGCCATGGAGTCACTGAAGAAGTCTTGTTAAGAATTCAGATTCCCAGATTCCCAAGCCTAATAATTTAGGTAAGGCTTGGAGATGTACATTCTAAAGCTAAAGTGCATATTTCCAGGCCTCGGAGGGTCTGGTGCAGCAGGTGTGGAGCGGGGCTGGAGCACACGTCTGTTTGAAAACCTCCTTGGGTGACAGGCAGGGCGTGGACCCCTGCCCTCGGATAATCAACTCCAGCGTGGACAGTTCTTGGTCCGTTACACCGGGAAGTCCCACCGCTCCCCACTAGATGGCGAGGTATGTCCCTCTCGGCCCCAGCCCAGCCCAGCTCGGCTCAGCAAGAAGCAAGCCCAGGCCACCCAGAATCCCTGCCCGTAAGGTAGGGCTGCAAGGGGGCAGCCTCCTATGATTCCTGCCCCTCCCTGCGACCGGAAAAGAGTGGTTCTTCAGTGGGGGAATGTCTGTTTCCCCTCCGAAGGCAGAAACACATCTTCGGGGGAGAAGTGGCATTTGGAAGCTGGCCTCAGGGCACACTGGAATACCTGTTCACCCGCCGAGATTCACCAACCACGAGGCCTCCCACCAACCACGGGGACTTCCTCTGTTGATACAACTCCAACAAGAGACCCCTCCAAAAGGAGACTCCATCCAGGGGGCCTGGATCCGGGGCCCAGTACCGGGCTCGAGGGTGACAGGCTGCCCAGCGGCGGCCAGAGGGGAAATAGGAAGCATCCCACCAACCACGGGGCCTCCCACCAACCACGGGGCCTCCCACCAACCACGAGGCCTCCCACCAACCACGAGGCCTCCCACCAACCACGAGGCCTCCCACCAACCACAGGGCCTCCCACCAACCACGGGGCACCCTCCAAGCACGGGGCCTCCCACCAACCACGGGGCCCCTCCAAGCACGGGGCCTTCCACCAACCACGGGGCTTCCCACCAGCCACGGGGCCTCCCACCAGCCACGGCTCCAACAAGAGACCCCTCCAAAAGGAGACTCCATCCAGGGGGCCTGGATCCGGGGCCCAGTACCGGGCTCGAGGGTGACAGGCTGCCCAGCGGCGGCCAGAGGGGAAATAGGAAGCATCCCACCAACCACGGGGCCTCCCACCAACCACGGTTTTACGTTTTATGTTCCCATCAATCTGTTGGTGTTTTCTTACGTTTCTCTTTAGAA